CAGGATCAGCCAACTTCCACAGGCACGCCAGTTGACCCGCAGGAAACCTTTCGCCATCTGCTTCTAGAATGCCCAGGCACCTCCGCTGCGCGCCAACGGCTGGGCATTGAGGAAGATCTACGCAGCGAAGTGTTCACTCAATGGCAGTTGCTTCATAGCAGGAAACTCCTGTCGCCGCCCAACCGCCTCCTCGGCACCCAGATGGCATTGTATAGCTAGACGTGCCGGTAAGAGTACGGAAAAAATGATAATGAGCATTCTCGCCACCATCGGGTCGTGGCGCACCTTGCGATCTCGCTGGTGACCCTCCTGCTCCACTGCTGTTTTTGCGCAACAAGTCATCGCAGTCATTTTTGTGGTTTGGTCGGCCTCGTGTTGCGCTCCGGGTTCTCCTCCTTCATCGCCTTGCGGTGTTTCCTTTGCCGTCCCTGGCGCTGTGACTGTCCCGTGACGGTTTTTTCCGAAGCCTCGCTTCCCTGGGAGGTCCTCCCGCCACCAGCGTGCACTCCACCTGCTGCCTGCTGAGATGCGTCGGAGCATGGGGATGTTTTGTCTGCAGCGTGCCCTCCGCCCAAAGACTCCGGTCCACTTGCACGCATCCGAGCAGCAGACGCGCTGCCAGTGCCGGACGGATTGCAATTGTTACTTTGCATTGGGTCGCTGCAGGATTGATTCTGCCTCGTCGGAGCAGTGAGTGGTCCTGCGGGGGTGGGATTATGGCCCTCACCGCCGTGCTTTCTCCACCCTCCTCGTCTTCCTGATTGTTATCAACCTCAGAGTTCACGTTCCCCTTTCGTCCAGAGCCACCGGCCACGGTTCTCCATCCGCAGCCATCACAGCCCGCGCTTGTTCAGCAGTCACCGCGCCATCACCAGCGGGCCGCACACACACACCGTCGCAGCAGCCGTCGAAAACACGCACGAGCTGTTGCACATCACTGCAGGAGCCAACAGGACGCAGAGCACACGGCCAGTCATCATCACAAACAGTGGAGTCGCCCAACACTGTGGAGCCGACCTGCAAAAGCACAGAAAACAAAAGGAGAGACACGGCCGCTACACCACGCACAGCCACCGCACAGTCACAAATTGCAGCAGCCCAGCAGCGGCAGCGCACACACACCATGAGGCAGTTGGAACCAGTGGAAGGGGCAAAAACACACAACGCCCCGCAGCAAGCAAACAGAAAACACACAAAACAATTAGAAACAAAACACAGCTAAACAAACAGCAATGAAGTTAAAAATGCAAAAACACACAAAAAACAAGGAGCTGCACAGTATGGCTCCAGCGCGCACGCACCCATCCTCAAATGTGATTCCACGCAAACAGTTGTGTGCGTGTCATGCATATGAGTGTGTCTGGGATGCGTGCCAAGTGACGGATACAGGGGTCAGCAACATGGAGCACACAGCAGGGCAGAGGAAGCAAATGAAGCAAAACACAATCATTATTACTCTTATTTATTAATTAGAAAAACAAATGAGACTCACAAGTCCCCGTGGTAGAGTGCTGGCACGCACAGCCCGCATACACCTCTTCAGCCCAGAGTGGTGTACGCCAGCGCGGATACGGCGAGCAGCAGCGGGGTACACACCCACGCAGAGCTGCTGAGGCTGCCGTCGATTTCGCGAAGAAGTGACGGTGCGTGGGTGGTCGTCGTGGTTGGTGCCTCTGTAGTCGTAATTGGTGCCTCGGTGGTGGTGGTGGTCGTCGTCGTTGTTGTAGTGGTCGTCGTGGTCGTCGTGGTCGTAGTTGGTGCGGCGGCCTTCTTTTGTTCATTTGACGTGTTAGTGTTCGTGTTTTCAGTCTCTTCCGTAGTGGATTGCCCATCTTCTTGTTCCTGATCCTGTTTATTATTGGAAGTATTTTGTGACTGTGCCGTTTCTTTTATTGTACCCGTTTCCTGTGACGTATGAAGCGCCATATTTGGTTCCTGTACCTCCTTCCTTTTCTCCTCCTCTCCTTTCTGTGGCGAAGGAGAAGTTGTACTATGCGATTCCATCCCCTCACCTGGTCCCTCTTTCTCGACACCCTTTGAAACAGAATTTTTTCCAGTTGTATCTCCACTCGTTATCGCGCACATGGATGGGCAGCAGCACAGGGCGAGCACCAACAGGGCGCACAGCAGACGGCACGTCATCATCGTGAGTGTGGTCGTTCAGTGGTGTGGAGCTGACCTGCACAGTGAGGGACATGGAGAGCAACAGGGGAGACGAGAGGTGCGGCAGACACACACAGAGGGCACACCACATGAGGAGAGGGCAGCAGCCAGGCATGCACCGTACGCCGCACACCACGCACGACACACACTCCAATCCACGGCAACACACACACAGCCCTGCCGCAACACCAACACACAGATGGAGGAGGGAGAAGCAAACAGGAGCGGCACACAAGGCTCCACCGCATGCACATACGGCGAGAGCGGTCCGTCGTGTCGGCACCCCTCACGGAGGGTACGCACACACACAAGAGAAGGCGCAGCGCCCACAGCAACACAAAAGCAAAATAACAATAAAAAAGGTGATCCCCGCACACCACGTGGATTGTTGGTCCACGGGAAGTGCAGCCAATATTCATCATGTAAACAACTTACATTATGTTTACTCTTCTTTGCGTGTTGTGCCGGCAACAGGTGAGTAGCGCAAGGGCCGTCAGCAATAACTAGGCAAGCATTCCGTCGCAAACGGCCGTCGTGCACGCTGGGCAGTCCAAAGAATTCGCAGTCCATATTCTCAACGACGGGGCATTACCACAGTGGATGAAGCGGAGTCTCCCGTGGTCCGTCGGGGATCAGCAGCCCGTGGCATCCGTAATGAGGCGTTAGCGGAAGGGCCTGGTCCATCTCGAGTACCCGCGTTTGTGCTTCCTGCGTGCCTTGACTGCTGGCATGCTTGGCGACTTCGGTGGCGACCTGCGCGCGAGGCGCCTGTTAGGAAGACGGTGGAGCCATTGTGGCATCCGCATTTTAGGCCCTCTCACACCATCGGAACGCCAGGCCGAGTACGTCCGGCATGTGCCGTCATATTGTGGACGGACGAGCGCACTCTGCCGCAGGTTGGGCGGGAGAACGTCAATCCGCCGCTCGCTGGTCAGCAAGGAGTTGCGGTGCTCACGTCGGGAAGAGGTCACCGCGGAGGCGGAGCGCAGACGCGGTGAAGAAAGGGACGGCACCACCGACACAGGGTCACTTGTGATCCGCAGGGCGCGTGCGGGCCTGTCGAAGAGTGGGCAGGAGTCGCATCGCGCCTGTGCGCGGTGCCGTCACTCGGGGCACGATGTCCGGGTCAACACCAGGAACAGAGTCCTTGCCACACCGTCAAGCGCCTGTCATGCGGTGCGTGCGCCTTCCTTTTCCTCATGGACGTCCTTCCAGTTCCGTCGCCTGACTGCAACGAGGAAGCCCACGCGCCAGGCACTGACGCAGCCCTGCGGGAGGGATCGTGCCATGACGGCGTCAGCGTCCGCTGTCACGTTGCGTGGGATTCCGCAGTGTCATGGTGAACATGTGGAGCCAACTGCGTGATCTCGATCCGCCAGTAAAAGCGGCACGGTGCAAATCTCCTCGGGGACGTCGTCGTGCACCGCCAGCGAGCCAAGGCGGATTGACTCCATCGCCGAGAGGGAGTCTGTGGCGGCAGGAACTCGTGTGGGCGATCGGGATGCTGCTGCCAGGCGGGGAACTGGGAACTGTCTGTGGCCATGCTCAGTGGCAGGACACTCCGCTCGGCAGGAGCATGCAAGGCTGCCGGCAGCTGCGCGGTGAGGCCCCACAGGGAGCGCGGCCGTCCGGGGAGTCAGGTGGCAGCGCAGCGGATCCAGACGCACGCTCAGCGAGAGACGAAAAGCCGTCCACCGCCAACACAGTTGCCAGCAACTAACGAGACGTTGACCATGAATAGGACACGTATGCCGCGCTGCCGTGGGCATGGACAGCGACCCCGATTCACTCAGCAACAGTGATCTAATGCCTCTGGATGGTACAACAGTTACGCCTGAGCCCAGCACAGCCCTAGCAAATGTTGAACGAGTGATAACGTGTCGGGCGGCGCTGATGCCGCACAGGATTATTTGCGCACAACGTCTAGGAAACCGGAGATCCCATCGGAGCACAACGCAGCATCACTTGTGCGCAACGGTTTTTGTGAGCACGGGCATTTCACGGATTTGTTGGCCATGGCTGAAATTGGTGACATCAACGTGCATGGGTGTGTGTCTCGGGTGTTGTTGCTTCTGCTTCTGGGGCTGTGGGGCACTGTGGCACTCTGCTGAAGTGTGAGGGAGGGTGGAACTGCGGCCTTTTGTGGAACAATAACTGTGCAGCTTGCCAGCATTACCCACTGAGTTTTGTCAATAACCTAAGTTTTTTTATTTTCTTTTATTTATTTATTTTTGCTGCTTTTGCCCTATTGGAATAATCAGCATCCCTGTGTTTTCATTTAATGATCGGTTGCTGCACACTGTAATGTGTGACGTGTTTCTACCCCTTGTTTCCTTCTTTTGCCCACACGCGGTACCGGCCTCACTGCTGTGCGTCCCACGGACTGCACGAAAGGAGGAGTGGAGGAACAGGCCGGATGTCGCATAAAATGTGAGGGGAGTTGTGTGGGCTGGTGGAACAGTACGAACTTTTTTTGATTTATTCAATCCAGGCATTACGTATACACAAACCAGTGGTTGTTTACATTGTGCTGCTTGGCACATAAAATGAAAGTCGTGCCTGATCCATTTTTATTTTTTTACTTTTTGGGAGTCATGCCGGACTCTCAACTATGTTGTTGTTCTTTTTTACCGCATTTTTAACTTCTGGTTTGCGGGGCTGTGTGTGAGTTCTGCAATTGTACTGATTTCAATTTCCTCGTGGTGTGTGCATTGTCATTTTTCACTGTGCGTGGTGGCTGTGTGTAGTGTAGCGGCCGTGTATTTCTCCTTTCCTTTTTGCACTGCGTTGACGTGTTGTTAGTTTGTGCTGAAGGCTGCACGCAAGTGACAGGAGTGATGGCGATGATGATGAGTGGCCGTGTGCTGCTGGTGTGTGCCCTCTGCGTGCTGTGGTCCGTTGCGGCCGATGGAGATGTTGTTGTTTCTGGTGGGGAAGACAACAGTCTGAAAGAATTATTTATTCCAGTTGCGAGATTGCAGGAAAGACAAGAACAAAGAGCAGTAGAAGCAACAGCTGATGCAAAGGCAGCAGCAGAAGCAGCAGAAACAGCAACAGCAAAAGCAGAGGAAGCAGAGGCAGCAGCAACAGAAGCAAAGGCGGCTGCAGAGACAGCAGCAGAAGCAGCAAAGGCAGCAGCAGAGGCAGCAGCCACGGCAGCAGAAGCGGCAGCAGCAGAAGCAAAAACAGCAGCCACAGCAGCAAAGGCAGTAGACACCGAGGCAAAAGCAAAAGCAGCAGCAGCAGCAGCTGAATCAGCAGCAACAAAAGCAACAACAGCATCAGAAGCAGCAACAAAAGCAAAAGCAACAGCATCAGCAGCAAAGGCAGCGACAGAGGCAGCAGCAGCAAAGGCAGCAGCAGCAGCAGCAGCAAAAGCAGAAGAAGCAGAAGCAGAAGCAGCAGCAGAAGCAGCAAAGGCAGCGGCAAAGGCGGCAGCCACAGCAGCAGAAGCAGCAGCCACAGCAGCTGAAGCGGCAACAGAAGCAAAAACATCAGCAGAAACGGCAAAAACAGCAACAGCAAAAGCAAAAACAGAAGCAGAAAAAGCAGCAAAAGCGACAGCAACAGCAACAGCAGCAGCAACAGCAACAGCAGCAGCAGAAAAGGCAGCAACAGCAGCAGCAAAAGCAGCAGCATCAGCAGAAAAGGCAGCAACAGCAACATCAAAAGCAAAAGCATCAGCAGAAACAGCCAAAGCAAAAGCAGCAGCAGCAGAAAAAGCAGCAGCAGAAAAGGCAAAAGCAGCAGCAGGAAAAGAAGCAGAAGAAGCAGCAGAAAAAGCAACAGAAGAAGAAAAAGCAAAAGCATCAACAGCAAAAGCAGCAGTAAAAGCAGCAGCAACGGAAGCGGACGCAAAAGCAACAGCAGGAAAAACAGCAGAGGCAGCAGCAGAAGCACTGCGAGGTACGACAGTCCGAGAAGAGGAGGTAAAAACAGCAACACATGATCAGGATAATTCAGTCGAACACCATTCTGGAGAAAAACAAGAGCTTCTACAAGAAAAAGAACCGGAACGACAAGAAAAAGAACAGCATGAAAAGCAGCAACACCAACAGCGTGAACATTCCGCAGGAAATGGCGAAGAATCCCCGAAAGAAAAAACTGCTAATGGTACAAATGCAACTGCAATTACGGACGACAGTGACGGCAGCACGGCGGTCTCCCACACCACCTCCCCTCTTTTGCTTCTTCTTCTTGTTGCGTGTGCGGCTGCTGCTGCGGTGGTGGCCGCGTGAGAGTGAGGGAGAGAGAGCCGTGCACCGCCCGCACACACACTCGTCCTTCACTCTGTGTGTGTGTGTCCCCTTGCATGGACTCTCGCCCTCACCTCATCCCACGAAGCACACACATAATGTGCCCATTGTATATATGAATGCACACCCATGCATGCCCGTTGGTGCTCTCTTTTGCACCACACGCACCGCCTCCGTCCTGCCTGGCTGCATGGGCGGAGCACCGTAACTGTTTCTGTTTTGTTTCCATTGCATTGAGTGGGCGACCTCTCTCTCTCTCTCTCTCTCCCTGTGTGTGTGTGTTTTGCTTTACGGGAGCAATGAGAGTGTGTGCGCTGGTCGTCCCACGCTTTGGCTTTTTTTGTTTTGTAAATTTAGTTGTTTTTTTTTTTTTTTTTTTTTTGTAATTTTTTTAATTTGCTTTTACTTTGAGCGTTTTTTTATTTCTTACTAACTCATTCCTTTTTTTTTTTTTCTTTTTGCTTTCGGGGGGCAATCACTATGGACGTTTTTTCTTTTCTACTCTTCCCTCTTTTAATTGTTTCTTCTGCACTCTTCCTGTGAGGGGTGCCGTGTGTTTCCCGCCCAACTGCTCCACTCGCACACCCACCGACACGCTCATGACGACGGCCCTGTGGGCCTCGCCTGCTGCACGCATGAGGAGGGGCCGCGACGAACGGCGCGCTGAGGGAGCCGTGACGTGTGGGTGTGCGACGAGGGACTGTGGGGCGGAGCACACATTTCTTTCCCTCTTGTTTTGTTTTCTTTGCGGCCAGGGCGGGCAGACACCCGCAGCGCCACACACACACAGCCACACCCTGCCGCCGTGTTTTAAAGGAATTTTTTTGTGCTTCGCGCGTGCATTTTACGCGCCGACAGTCCCTTCGGTGTCGGCCTCGTCAGCATTTTTCTCCTCTCCGATGATTTCCCTTTTTTTTCTTTTGCTGCGCTCACTCTCCCGATGGAGTGACGCGACTCCCGTCATGTCTGCGTGCTTCTCTCAGTCCCCACACACACGAGTGACTGTGCTCTGCGAGCCGCACTCACGCGCCGATGAGAGGGCTGAGGGGAGCAGCAACACGCAGATGACCCCATGAAATATAAACGATGTGCGGACACACGGAGGGTCGGACGGTTGAAAGACATTTAAATATCTTTTAATTTTATTTTCGGACAAAATATGCAGAAAATCTCTGGAGCAATATGGTAGTTAGGCGCTTTTTAAAATTTGTGTGGAACAGTAATGGACGATTTTTTTTTTATTTACAATTATTTTGTGTGATGAGGTTTATATAAGTTGAAGGGGAAAGCTTTTTTTGTTTTAAATAAATCTTGTGTGAATTGCCGCTGCTTGGGCTGCTGCGCAGTCATGAGTTTGAGCGGTCCTCTTCTTGTTGCTTCCGCCATGCACCTCCGCTGTACATTTTTTGCGTCCCTTTACATGCTCTGCTCCTCTTTTCTACTTCTTCGCTTTGTGTTTCTGCAGGCACACACAACCACACACGCACAAGATGCGCATTGTAGTGGATTTGAATGCTTCTTTTGCAGTGCATGCTGGCAGTTGCGTGTGGCGGCTTTTGTCTTCCTCCGTGGCCATGAGGAGAATGGAGGAGGAGAGGGAGTGCGCAGCCCGCGTCTCCTTTCCTGCGGGTGTGGTGCACCGCGTGTGACTGCGTTGAGTTTGGCTTCGTGTCCCATTGAGGGCGGGATGGCTGGAAAGTTTGGTGCCGCGTCATGGATGGATGAGGGTCCACTGTCGTGTGGCTGGTGTGGTGGGTGCTCGCTCCGTGTGCGTTGTGTGGTGGCCGCGGGTTTTGGCCATTTCCCGTTGGCTGTCGAGATGAGCTGGGAGGAGATGGTGGTGGATATCTTCTCCTGCTGCATGGTGGGTGGCTGCTGGCGTTGTATGCCTTCCTTGCGTGGATGCCGTCTCGTGGTGTGTGAACTGTGCGGCTGGGCCTGCTGCCCTCTCCTCATGTTGTCTGCTCTCTCTCGCTGTATCCGCTGTGCTCCGTCCCTCTCCCTCCTGTTGCATTCTTTTCCTTCTGTCTCACCGATCAGCTGACTGGCTCCAGCGACTCCACTACGAGAGGCGACGGTGCGTCATCGTGCGGTGTGCGCTGTGTTGGTGTGCGCCGTGTTGTTCTTTGCGCTCTCGTCCGTGTGTGCGTGACGGCTGCTGGGAGTGCTGGACATGTATCTGGTGATGCGGATGCGGTGGTTGTGCCGGTGGATGTGTCATGTGCTCCGAGTGACGGCGGCCTGAGCTATCGCGTGTGTGTGTGTGTGTGTGTGTGTGTGGAAGAAGTGTTCTGCTGCCAGTGCTGAGGCTCAGCATGAGAATTATATTTTCAGTGGCCTTGATGTGCAGCTGCCTAGCAGGAATGGTGAGCTGGGTGCTGTGTGCCATGTGGCCAATGCGGTGCACACATCTAGCAACTGCGCCGCAAGTTAATGCTGAGCCGTCACGTCAACACGAGGATTGGCGACAGTCTGCGGCGGCTGACGGACCCAACACCGTCGATCCGAGTCCCGCATCCAACACGGCGACCAACGCGTCCGAGACGAGGCCTGAGTTTGCCACCAATCCGAGCGAAATGATGGTCCCGAATACGTCCAAGAAGAGGCTTTCCTTTGCCAACGGTCCGAGAATATTAGTGGCGCTGAATGCATCGGAGATCATGTCTGTCACTTATGGCGGCAGGGGACACGTTGCTGCGGATAACACGGACGAGGTGAGTGAGCGCAACGCCACTGGATACAAATCTCTCGTTTTAGAAAATGGCGTTGCAGGCAGTGGATTTGTTGCTGAGGGTGATGCGGACGGATTGACTCAACGCAATGCCTCTGGACACGAAAACCCCAATTACGAGAATTCACCGCGCAGTATTCCGTTAACGGTGTGAGTCCCGAAGACTGCTTTGCCCTGCTCAACGACGCGAAATTGACACTGCGTGAGTTAACTGTTGACGGCACTGTGCGTGTGTGTGTGTATTGGGCGTCGCTGCTTCTTCTGGGATTGTGTGGGGTTGTGGCGGTCTTCTGAGCCAAAGAGTGTGGAATTGCGACTCCTCACGGAGATCATCTGCCGCGTTGCATGCGTGTTTTCATTTATTATCTACATGTTACTTTGTTTGTTTTGTTGTCTTCCTGGAATGATAAGTATCCTTGCTGTTCCTTTATTTAATGGTCGGTTGCTGCACACTGTCATGTGTGACTTATTTCCTCTACTTGTTTTGTTTTTTTTTGCCCACACGCGGTGCCGGCCTCACTGCTGTGCGTCCCACGGACTGCACGAAACGATGATTGGAGAGGAACAGGCTGGATGCCGCAATGAAGTGTGAATAGTTTTTGTTTGGGCTGATGCCGTTTGTGACTCTGTGCGGTGTAGCGACCGTGTCTCTCCTTTTGCTCTGCGTTGACGGGGAGTTAGTTTGTGCTGAAGGCTACACGCAAGTGACAGGAGTGATGGCGATGATGATGACTGGCCGTGTGCTGCTGGTGTGTGCCCTCTGCGTGCTGTGGTGCGGTGCCGGCGGTGGCGGATGCAGTGAGGCTTTGGTACCTGTTGCCGAAATAACTGTTGATTCTGCGAGTGTTGGTGTTGTTACCGACAAAGACACCGATCGTACGGTGCCTGGTGAACTGGGAAACCCTTCCGTAGAGAAAAAACAGCTGCAAAACGTTGAGGATTCCGCACCCGGGTCCCCGCAATCGCAAGCTGGCTTAGATATTGAATTAACAAAACAGCAGCCACACACCGACCACAAACATACGGATCCACCGCCACATTCACAATCATTGCAAGAAGAGCGGCGTGATGGAATACCCGAGGGTTCGCCAGGGGAATCGGCGGCTTCACTCAGTCAAGAGGACACGAAGCATACATCAATTGTAAGTCCAGAGCGTAATGATCCGCCATCTGCTTCAAGTAACAACAATACCGTCAGCAGTAATAGTGAGGAAGGCACAGAAGGTACTCCGAGCAGTACTGAAATTATAGTAGCCGCACCGTCAGAAGACGGCCAGGAAGATGAAAATGTCACTCCTTACTTGGAACAACCTCAGGAAACTTCCACAGCCGCACCGGCCATTACCACTCAAACAAGTTCCATGACGGCGCCCGAAGAAAATGAGAGCAACACCGTCAAAATGAGTGATGCATCACCACAAACAACAGTCGCCGCCAACTCAAATGTTGCGACGAAGCCTGCCGAAAATGATGGCAGCACCGCGGTCTCCCACACCACCTCCCCTCTTTTGCTTCTTCTTGTTGTTGTTGCGTGTGCGGCTGCTGCTGCGGTGGTGGCCGCGTGAGAGTGAGGGAGAGAGAGCCGTGCACCGCCCGCACACACACTCGTCCTTCTCACACTCTCTGTGTGTGTGTCCCCTTGCATGGACTCTCGCCCTCACCTCACCCCACGAGGCACACACATAATGTACCTATTGTATATATGCATGCACACCCATGCAGGCCCGTTGGTGCTCTCTCCTGCACCACACGCACCGCTGCCGTCCTGCCTGGCTGCATGGGCGGAGCACCGTAACTTTTTTTGTTTCCATTGCATTGAGTGGGCGACCTCTCTCTCTCTCTCTCCCTGTGTGTGTGTTTTGCTTTACGGGAGCAATGAGAGTGTGTGTGCTGGTCGTCTCACGCGTTGTTTTTTATTATTATTATTATTGATTTTGCTTGGTTGTGGTTGAGTGCACCCATTACCCTCCTTTCGATTAGTGGCTTGCCTTGACTGCGGATTCTTAAAATTTTCCTTGTATGTTATTATACTGTTCCTTTCTTGATGAGAGAGTGTCAATCTCTTTTTTCCTTGTCACGCCACCAAGTTTTTTTTTTTATTTATTTGACATACGCCATGCGTCCGTTGATCCACGTTACTCTGTGACCTGCATTGCTGCTGGTGTTGCTGTTGATGATGTCCGCGATGTGATTTGTCAGCGGATGTCTTGCTGTCAGCCTGACGTATCCTTCGTTCCTTGACGATTTGTTGCGTACCGACGGTGCGTGGGCGTCTCTGGTGATAGTGGGGGACGCGTGTCTCAGAGCGCAGGATGCGTCGCGAATGTGCGGCGTCGTTTGTGAGGACCGATGGGTGACCATCCGCATCCAGGCGTCATCAACGGACTTTGAGGACAGCATAAGGCACTGCGGCTTCTCCTTGTGTTGCACAAAGAATTTATTGGACGGTGCGTTTGTATTCAATCTTTTGCAGCTTTTGTGGGGGAAGGTGGGAGGTTGATGGCATGAGGACTGAATTCGTTTGAGTGGCTGCGTTCCGTTGAGTTGCGGCCAGTCGTGGCACTCTTTTGGGGTTTGTCATCTTGTCTCTTTTGTTTACTTCCCACCGCGGCACGTGGATAACACTGATCCGAGGAACATTTGTTTGACCGCGTGTGAGCTGCTGCCGTGCGTGGTGCATGGACTATGTGATTGTGTGGGGAGGTGCATTGGAGTGACGAATACTTCTGTTTGGCGTGTTGCGGTGTGTCGGAATGATGTTCGGATGACATGTGAAGGGTGTTGTTTGTGATTTGTGTGTCTTCTCTGGTGGAGCCGACATGTGTGCGGGGATCGCGGCGTTGCTGGCTGACAGTTCCACGTCACTTTTCAGCATTCCTGGATGTGCTGAGGAATGACGGCTGGCGACCAGCGTGTTGGTGCTGCCGGTGGGAATAAGTGCATCGGGAATAGGCCGTTTTCTCTTTTCCGTGCTGGAGCCGATGAACTGGCACGAGGGCACCGGCTGCAGGCTGCCTGCCAGCACGTGTGAGCAGCGGATCCATGCACACACCGACGCTCATCGCAAGAGCGTGTGCGGTCACAGTGGCCTTTTGTGGCGTGCTTTTGTGGACGTCAGCCCATCGAAGAATGTGTGAAGCAAACGGCTGACAGCACACGAGGAAAATAAGTGCGTGCACTGTGCCGTGTTTCAGCGTCGATGGCAGAGCGACAGGAAGCCCGTGCTGGCAACTGAGATCTTTGCGTCGCGAGGGATGTCGGTGTTGATTTTGGATCGTCGAGGGTGAAGTGATTTTGCTGCTGCCCGTGTGTGTGGCCACTCCGGCAGAGGGCGGACACAAAAGGGAGGGATGCAGGCGCTGCGTGTGTGTGTGCAGGTGCCATGCAACAGCGTCACAACAAACATGCTGCGACTCGGTGACCCTCACATCGTAGTGGTCCTCACGAACAGCCGAGGCACGGCCCACACCGATGCACTTAGTGGACGGAGTGAGGCATCTTTTGAGGCGCAGCAGGGAACAGGATGTGTTGACGCAGCCACGACGTGCATGGAGTGTCACGATGGCACAGTCAGCTGTGGCTGGTGGAATATTTACTTCTCGGAGACAACAAAGAGAGAGAGAGAGAGAGAGCTGCTCCTGCTGCTGGCGTCGTTGCTGCCTCTTGTGGCCTCCCATGCCGATTATTGTCTGTCCGCTGATCATAGGTGGTATGCCTCCACTAGTGGCGTCGTCTGCAGGCATTTCACAGCACCAGTGAAACACACATCACGTCGCATGCTTTGGCTGTGGATATGGTGTCGTGAATGCAGCCGGCATTATATTGCCCGACTCCTTTTCACTGCTTTGCGACGAATAGATGCGTCCCCGCCCGAGCCATTCACTGCAGCTCCGTGTGTTGTACTGCCAGCACAAGACTCTCTTGTTGTCTGACGCCTGGCTGACAGTCAAACACCACTGCGTTGGGACATGCAGGGATGTGGACTGCCGCTCACGGTGTTGGGCACCGCTGTTTGGATGCGGCGGCCACACGAGCGGATGTGTTGTGGCACAATCAAATGCGTGAAATACGCGGAATCATAGCGGCTGCAATAATATCAGCGGTGTGGCACTACGGAGTATGTGAGGGGGTGATGCATGATGAATCACAGTGGGCGGCATGCGAGGGAAGTGCACCGCGACGGAGCGTCACCCCGCCCTCAGCCTGCAGGGGAATGTACACCCTCAAAATATATGGACGAGACGCCACCAAACACACATGCCCTTCCATGCACCAATAAATAGGAGCGAAGGTGCGTTCTGGTGTGTGGGAGTCCACTCACATATTTTCATTTCCACCGCAATAAACGGTGAGGAATCAGGAGCCACAGCAACGAAAGGAAAAACAAACATCTACTGCAACACTTTACCAGCGAAAGGCAGGAACAACACAAACCGAATTATTGGCTGCACCAACACAAGAAACATTCACAAGAGGAAAATAAATAATAATTGTGCACCCTGCAGAAATCCCCAATACACGATGCAGGCATGAAGGTTTGCTCTATGCAAAAACAAAACAACGCATGCAGGCATCTGCCAACATTCAAACAGAAACACAAATAAATGGTTGTCTCCATTATTCCGTTCCATCCGCTTATTTTTGCGTGTGCTACTGCTGCGATGGTTGCCGGGCCTGCATGAAGTGGTGTGCGCTGAATATGAAGGAAGGCCAAAGGCAACTGAATTGTTTTTGTGATGAATATTGGCTGCACTTTCCATGGACCAACAATTCACGTGGTGTGCGGGGATCTCTCCTTTTTTATTGTTACTTTGCTTTTGTGTTGCTGTGTGTGCTGCACCTCCTCTTGTGTGTGTTTGCGTACCCTCCGTGAGGGGTGCAGACACGACGGACCGCTCTCGCCGTATGTGCATGCGGTGGAGCCTTGTGTGCCGCTCCTGTTTGCTTCTCCCTCTTCCATCTGTGTGTTGGTGTTGCGGCAGGGCTGTTTGTGTGTGCGTGCCTGCTGCCGTGGATTGGAGTGTGTGTTGTGCGTGGTGTGCGGCGTGCGGTGCATGCCTGGCTGCTGCCCTCTCCTCATGTGGTGTGCCCTCTGTGTGTGTGTCTGTCGCACCTCTCGTCTCCCCTGTTGCTCTCCATGTCCCTCACTGTGCAGATCAGCTTCACACCACTGAACGACCACACTCACGATGATGATGACGTGCCGTCTGCTGTGCGCCCTGTTGGTGCTCGCCCTGTGCTGCTGCCCCTCCGTGTGCACGGCAGAGGAAGAAGATAACCGCAGTACGGACTCCGATACGCAAAAGGGTGTAGGTGGGACAAACGGTAAGCAAAATGGAACAAATGGGAGCCCAGAACTAACGACCAAAACGTCAGAGGATGAAGGTGAGAGCGGTACGCAAGTCATAGAAGGCAGGCTCACCGATGTGATCTCCAACAGTGATGGTGCGTCCGGTGAGCCAGGGAAACCAAGCGCTGTGGATCAATCCGCAAAAAAAACAAAATTGGAGGTTCCTGTGGAAAAAACGACGACCACGACGACAACCACAACGACCACAACTACAACAATGGCACCAACTACTACAACAACAACCACTGCGCCGGAGGCACCAAGTACCACGACTACAGAGGTGCCAACTACGACGACCACCCGCGCACCGACACTTCTTCGCGAAATCGACGGCAGCCTCAGCAGCTCTGCGTGGGTGTGTGCCCCGCTGGTGCTCGCCGTATCCGCGCTGGCGTACACCACTCTGGGCTGAAGAGGTGTATGCGGGCTGTGCGTGCCGGCACTCAACCACGGGGATTTGTGCGCGTCTACTGTGGTTCGATGTAAATAAATACGAGAAAATAATGATTGTGTTTTGTTTCACTTACTTCCTCTGCCCTGCTGTGTGCTCCATGTTGCTGCTCCCTGTATCCGTCACGTTGAACGCATCCGGGACACACTCGTATGCACGACACGCTCACAACTGTTTGTGTGGACGCATTTTTGCGTGCTGGTGCATGCGCACTGGGGCCATTCGTTGCAGCTCCTTGTTTTTTGTGTTTTGTGTTTTTAGTTATTTTTTTTTTACTTTCTTTTTTTCTGTTTTTGTTTTGTTGTTGCTTGTTTTTTGTGTTCATTTTGCTTTTTTTTTTTAACTTCCTCCGGGGCGTTGTGAGTTTTTCTTTTTCATTCTTTAATGGTTTATTTTCTTTAATTTTTTCTTTTTCTTTTGTTTACTAATCTTTCACTCCACACATCCCTCCTGTTTTGCTTTTGGGGGCAATCACTATGGACATTGTTTTCTTTTCTACTCTTCCCTCTTTTAATTGTTTCTTCTGCACTCTTCCTGTGAGGGGTGCCGTGTGTTTCCCGCCCAACTGCTCCACTCGCACACCCACCGACACGCTCATGACGACGGCCCTGTGGGCCTCGCCTGCTGCACGCATGAGGAGGGGCCGCGACGAACGGCGCGCTGAGGGAGCCGTGACGTGTGGGTGTGCGGCGAGGGCCTGTGGGGCGGAGCACACATTTCTTTCCCTCTTGCTTTGTTTTCTTGCGGCCAGGGCGGGCAGACAC